AAGATATTTTTCGTCCACATTAATTCCTTCGCTGCTTCAGATAAAGCGATATACTCCGCTTCCATAGTTGATAAACTTACACATTTTTGTTTAACAGTTTTTCAGATTACCGGTACTTCATCTAAATATAATATAAATCCTCCCATGGACACGCGGTCATCTCTGTTACTTGCATAATCAGCATCTGAATAACAATATAAATTTAGATGTTTAATCTTCGATAAGTTTAACTTATATAATTTAGTACTATTGAGATAACCAAGCAATTTCAACAATGCTTCCCAATGCTTAATTCCAGGATTCTCCTGAAATTGTGATAAGATATTCACTGCATATGTAATATCAGGCCTTGTCCTGTTAGCTACAAAAACTAAACATCCTAACAGATTTCTAAAGGGTAATGTATGCATTTCCGCAACTTCTGCACTTGTAGATGGACAATCTAATTTTGTAAGAATAGTGCCCTTAGCTATGGGAAGTGAAGTTATTGGTATCTGGAAATGTTTAAATTTTTCAAAAATTTCTTCAATATATTTTTGCTGATGTATAAAACCCCATTCTCATTCTCTAAGAATTCAATTCCAAGTAACGTTTTTAGTTTGCCTAATACTTTAAGATCAAAAAAACTTACTCAGCTGTGAAATTACTTTATCTATACTATATTGATCTTTACTAAAAATCACAATATCATCTACATATAACAAGAGAATTACATTTGAACCCTTATAAACACAATTACACCATTGTATTTTCTTAAAATGTAGATTTTCTAAAGTACTTTCAAATTCACAAAACCATTCACGGCCGCTTTGATGTAGACCGTAAATGGCCTTGTGTAATAAACACACTTTATTTTTCTCTTCGATAAATCCCTCTGGTTGGGTCATATATATTTTCTCATTTAGGTTTGCATATAAATATGCGTTCTTTACATCTAATTACAATATTTTTCACTATACTGGTATGTTTATATGGATGGACAATTAGTCCATCCATATAAACATACCAGTATAGTGAAAAATATTCTTATGATTGAAAAATTTACTACAGGACTGTAAACGTCATCAAAATCTTCACCTCTTTTCTGCCTGAATCCCTGTGCTACTAAGCGTGCTTTGTATCTAATCACTTGATTCTTTTCATTTCTTTTTAGCGTATTTTCTGGCTTTTCGACTAATTCCCAAACCTTTCTTTCCTTTATTGTGTCGATTTCTTCTTTCATTGCCTTATCCCATTCTTCGGCATTTACTGATTTTCGTGCTTCTTTAAAATTTTGTGGGATAACTATTTCTACGGAATTTGCCTCTTCAGACACAGAGCTAGTCTCCTGTTCTATGAAATTAACTTTCCCTGAGTATTCGTTTTTTCCACTAAAATCGAACTTATCTTTTTCATATTTAATATTTCCTTGCCTCACAATACTTTTCAATATCATTATAGGATCTAAAATGGGTGTCTGTTCCCTCTACATAATAATATATGTCTGTACGTGTTCCATCAGGCCTTTTAACTGCTTTTCTTTGCCAGTTTAAGTCTGATACTTCTTTCGGAGTAGATTTGTCATCTGACAACTTTATTTCTTCTCTAGAAATTTCCTATTCTTCATCTGATTCTGCTAATTGCTCAGATTTCTCTAGTCTTTTAAATTTAGGTTTTGATTTCTGTTCCAGGATGCCATTTGCTGCATACAGTTTTTCATCGAACTTCACATTACAGGTTTCTATTAATTTGCATTCTTCTGGCAGCCATATCCTATAACCCCTAGTTTCCTTCGCATATCCTACCGTGATTCCTTCTTTGCACCTCATTTCTAATTTATTCCTAATCTGTTTTGGCACGCCAACATAGGCTTTACAACCAAATACTTTAAAATAAACAACACTGGGTTTTCTATTTAGGAACATTTCATAAGGGGCTTCGGTTGCTTTTTTATGACATACTCTGTTCCACGTATGTACGAAACAGCCAAGAGCTTCTTCTGCCCACCATTCTTTTTTCCCATTTTACCATCATTAAGCATAGCTTTAACTGTGTTCTAATGCCGTTCGGATTAAAACGTTCACACACAGACCGTTCTCTTCTGGGGTGTACGCGTTTGTGCGTTCAACATTAATTCCATTTTCGGCTAAGTACCCTTCGAATTGCCTGTTACAGAATTCCCCACCATTATCGGTGCGTATACTTATTAATTTTCTATTCGTCAGTCTTTCCATTTGCCTATGATAATTCTTAAAGTTGTAGAACGATTCGTTTTTTTTTTTTTTTATTTTTCATACAATACACTGTTACTAATCCACTATAGTCATCTACAATAGCAAGAAAATATTTACTCCCACCCTTAGATGGAACTGGTAGTGGGCCACAAACGTCTAAATAAACCAACTGCAATGGTTTATCCGATCTCTTCGGAACAGATTTAAAAGTTATTCTACTAGATTTAGCAATAATACACGATTTACACCTTTCTATTGGTTTTTCAATTTCTGGTAACCCTTTCACGCTTTGATTCTTACTAGTTTTCTTAATATAATCAAAATTTACGTGGCTAAATCTCCGATGCCATAGCATTGCATCGTCTACTTTATTTAACTTTCCAATTTCTGTACCGTAACCAGCTTCCCTTTTTATTACCTGTTGCATATCTAAATGGTTTTACGTGATAAAGTCCGTCATATCGTTTAGCGTAGCATAATCTATCCCAATTATTAAAGTATATCCACATCTTCCCTTTTGAAATCACAAAATGAGCACCAGCCTGTTTTTTCTAACCTTGCTCCCGATAGTAAATTTTCTTCTTAGATTTGGATTATGTAACACATTATCTAACTCAATCCAATTTATTCGATTGCCTACTTTTACTGCAAATTTGACAGTACCCTTTTCCTAGTACTTTACTTTCACAATTTCCTACAGCTAAAGACATACGTATATCGTTTATTTCTTCGAAATTTGTCATTAAATTTCTATTATTACAGAAATGAGTTGTAGCTGCAGTATCTACGACCCAATTAAATTTATCTGCGTTACCTCCTTTATCTGTAGTTGTTTTACATAATTTTCTACTAACATTAATTCTTTATCTTTAAACTGTCCATTTTTATCGTCTATTTTAAACTTCTTATTTTTACTTACATTTTCTTTACATTGAGCAATTAAGTGCCCAAATTTGTGACATCTGAAACAAGGTCCTATTCTCATATTCCCCATTTTTTTTTTCTTAGATTTAGTTTTATTTTCAACTTTATCTTTCCCTGCGTTTAAACTAATAGTATTAAACACGCTTACCTTGCTGTCTTCTAAATCGGCAACTACCTGGACGAAGTCGGCTTTCTTTCTTCCCTTACCAGCTCTTCAGCAATTTCTTTCCAGCGTAAAATCTTCGTCCTTCCACCTATAGATCAACTGTACAATGCCGGAGTATTCCTGGGGTAATCTCCTTATTGCCTGGAATCCTTTAAAAAGATCTGCCAAGTTGTGACCATCTTCAGCCAACTTCTTTGCAGTCATTCTTATTCTTGCGATGAATAATCCTATTTCTTCATTTGGCGTATGTCTAATACTAAAAAATTCATCCAGTAACTGAATTATCCTTGCTCTTGTTTTGGGTTCGAATTGCTTCTGTAGAACTTCCCACGCTTCTTTACCACTTGAACATTCTTGTATCAGCGGCCTGAACTCAGCTTAATTCCGTAATATAATATAGTGAAGGCTCTGTTCTCCCTCAGTGTGAACTCCTGCTTTTCACGCCTTGTTGCACTTTTATCTAATTCTTCTTCTTTGTCTTCTATGAAGCTCCAACAATTTCTATCCAGTAACAGCATTTTCATATCGACTTTCCATTGATCCCAGTTGTCATGGTTTAACAACTCAAAACCTTCAGGTAGTAATGACATCTTCAATTAAGTGTGAGCACAACGACTTGAACAAACTTCTAAGACAGGTCAGCTTCTTTTCGTGGATAACGGCCCTCTTCACCTACATTCCTTCAATGTTGAGTTGAACTGGATGACTGATTAGCTGTTGGCGCTGGGCCTATAACCCTGTTGGCAGTGGTGATAAGAGCAAAGCATGTTTTGCTTCCCTTAAATAAAGCTAAGACTAAACTAAATAAAATTCTTGCTTTATTCCGTAAATAAAATAGAAGAGCTAACACTGCGCCTTTACATTTTAAAATCATTGATTGAAAGCAAACTAGCATAATGCTAACTGATAAGAACAAGAAAACACAAGATTCACCGATACCAGCGTACATATATATTATACTCAGCCAACCCGCCGATCTTGACGTCATCAGCCAATCAGCGGCAACCATGTTAGCTTACCGCCGATCGACCTCCGATCAGAATTTGCATGTGGAAAACTAAAGCCAACAGCATGCGCAGAAAGTTTTTAGCTTTGAGGTCCGGATTATAGATCATTCCGGATTATGGGTGTCCAAATTAACGACTTTTGACTGTATAATTAGGTTAGTGTTGAAATAATTTCAGTTAGCAATAAAGCGAGAACAGGAATCCCAAATAGTAGGTAGTTTTTCCTACCTACTATTAGGGATTCTATTATTCTTATTATGATCAAGGCAATTATCATAATCTGTTACTTTAAAATACGAACTTCAAGTTATTTTTCAACATCCATCTTGCCTGGTAAACATGGTAACGACAGCTGCAGCAGATAATGAGTTTCTGTGATTGTTTTTCCCTCCACTCCCTTTCTGTTTACTATGTTTCGATTCACAAAAAATGTGTGAACAATGGCTGACTTCAACTACAGTCTCAAGGTGTAGAAAATCAGCTCTGTACAATGATGGTTACACATGTTACAATTGTAAATGGAGGATGGCAGCAACTACCTTGAAGAGATTGTTTTAAAGAAAGAGTTTAGTAATGGCAGTATTTTGTGTATAATCTCTTTGTTTTTGTTTCATTTCTCATTTCAGCCAGTTAAAGCTTTTTATATAAATATTTGTTAAATTTTAATTTAATTTTTTCCTCTCTTTTTAGCTGCTGCAAAAGAACCTCTGTGTAAGCAAAAGGTAAGTATTATGTTTTATCTTTTCACATAATTTAGTTGTATCATTTACCATAATTTAGTTGTATCATTTACCAAGTAGTCCAGAATTATTATATTGAAATACTTAATTTCTGTATCGTTTTCACTTATGATTATTTTTTTCACATGTACTTCATAGATGCATAAAAAAATCATTGATAGAGGTGTTCCAGAAGATGCTCAACCAGGAATAAAAAATGCTAAAGTAAGTCAAAATTATTAATGATATCAAACAATATTTTTTGACCAGAATTTGAGATATATTTCTAAAATTATCCTTAAGATTACAAATAAAGTTGAATTACTCATTTGTTATTTATTTTATAAATTTGGAAAGCAATTACTATATATTTTGATCTTTGATTGCATGGGGCAGCATAATGAATATTATGTTCAGACTTAAGCTAATAAGGCGTTACATATTGAGCAGAAGAATTGTCTAAGAATAAAGTTAGTTTAAGTATAATGTCCTCTTAATAATGTTTTCTCCTTGAAATTCCCCACTTATGAAAAATTGCACTGAATAATAAAATGTAATGTTACAAAGACTACATCCTTGAGTTACTAGATATATTTAGCTTTATTAATATTTTTTCTTTTCTCTCTAATTTCAGAATTTTCTGTTCACATTTTTGTAGGGGGTAATTAAACTTTTTTTTTATAAACAAAATCAGTATTTTCCTTTATAAACCTTAACAGTGAGTGATAATTACCTGATAACTGTACTTCTGTAATTTTTTCCTCGGCACTAGCTACTACTAAAGCGTGAAGTAGTGGCTAGGAAAGGCATTGGCCACTACTAAGGCGTAAAATAGTGGTCACTTTATTATGGGGGTACGTGGGCCAACTTTGCCTCCTATGAAGGGACAGACAATTTACATCGATGCCTTTTCTGGGATTTGAACCCAGGCTCTTCAGTATGACAGTCAAAGTCCCTAACCACTTTCCTGTCTGAGTGGCTGTACTTTTGTAATTTATTGTTATACTTTTCTTTTTAGTGTTGGTCTGTTTTCGACTAGCATTCGAAAGTGTTTTTTCTTTTTATAACTAGCATCCATTATATTTTACACTTTAGGGAAAGGTTCTGCTTGTTTTCCAGTTCCAGTTTTTAAGTTTCATAAAAGAAATGAATATGAAAATCTTTGGGAAATGAATTACAAGTGGTATTTCATATCCCATATTTTTAAAGTTTTTAAAAGCTTATTAATTAATTCTCATTAGTTTTTACTTTTGAAAATGAGTGCACTTTAAAATTTATTTCAAGTTTTTAGTTGGAACAATATATAGATTTTGAAAAATGTATTCTCTTTCTAACCTAATGCAATGGAATGATTAATAATTTGTGATTTTTATACTTTTTATAGGACAGTTTGCCTCCATATCCATTATCTGGTATGGTAAATAAGTCTGGAGGTAAAGTTAGATTAACATTTAAATTAGAACTCGACCAAGTATGGATTGGAACCAAAGGTTTGTACTTCTGTTTTCCTTTATTAAAGCAAATTGTAACTATAGCTTATAATTTAAATATGTTTTTTGTTTGTTTGGAGCTAGTAATAAAATGATATAAATTAACTGTTGCTAACATTTTAAAGTATGCTCTGCACAGAACTGAAAGCAACATTTTAGTGAAAAATTATAATTTTAATTGAAAACATACAAATTAAATATGAATAAAAGAAACCTGCAGTGGGGAATTAGAAAGTCAGTGGGATAGGTGAGCTTGTACACAGTTATTCAAATTACAGAAGAAGGCTTGATACAGATATTCTCATTTCTTGATCCACGCTGATTTTCGAACGATATTTGGTACTTATTTTAGCAATAGTTTGAAATCCAGCTTCTTGTAGATAGTATACTGCAAAGGAAATGAAGATACTTAGAGCTTTAGTACTCAGTTTTAATTAAATCCCAAATTCCATTCAATCTGAATTAGATCCCAAACTCCATTCACTCTGAGCAAGCAAATTTCAGACTGTTATCGCAAAAGAGTTCAGTTATATTCTCTTTGTAAAGTGTTGGGTACTTAAGAATGAAGAGGATCTTTGATCAACATAAATTTCTCTACATTATCTTCTGTAAAATATTTTGTGAACCAGTTTAGTCAGCTTTGAGAGGTGTTCCTTGAAAAGGGACAGGAATTCCTGTAAAACAATGACTATTAAGAAGCTCTGTTTAGCTACAACCTTTCCACTGTCATCCAGTTTTCTTATCCACAATTGCAGCTTTTTCCTAAATGCTGAAATCTTTTTACAAGATGTGCGTACTTTGCCCTGTAGAGACAGATTCAAGACATATAGTTTCTCAGTGCCCACCAGCGGCCGAGCGGTAAAAGTCGCTGAACACTGGTAGTTCGGTCCGAGGTTCGAATCCCGCGAACAGGCTGGCTGCATGGGCGTTTTCGTGGTTTTCCCCATGTGTAACTTGTATACGAGCCAGTTTCCCTTAGAAAGTCTTCCACGAAGGCAACCCTCCCCTTAGGCAGATATCCCTCGTGTGCTTTGCCATAATTAAATACACCAACACCATATAGTTTCTCAAATATATTGCACTGATATGCTAGTTTGAGGAAAATGTCTGGTTTGGCAAAATACTTAGTCATTGCACAACCTTCGTTTTGCAGAAAAATATGAATTTCTTGAATCTCAAATGCACAAGACAGGATGTTGCCATGTGAAAGCCATCGTGAACTGCAATTGCTTAGGAAGGCTGTGTGTTCAACTGCCATGTCCTAGCATAGCTTTTTTTAAAATCATGCTTTCAGCAGTTTAGTTTGTGTAGTTTGCTATGTCTGTGACCTATTCTAATGTCAAATTCAACTGACAACTAACCGATTTCAATGCAAGTTCTTGCCTGTAGTCTATGTAGCATGTGGTATTTGCTCCAAAGTGTCTGCAGTCCTTCAAGTAATGACCAGACATTGATCGAGTGCCATCAGTACATACACAGATGCACTATTTCCAAACTGAATCAGTTTCCATTATAAACTTGTCAAGCATTTGAAACAAGTCAAGGCTTGAGCTTCCGGTGATGATCTTGCAGAATAGAAGGTCTACAGAAGTATTACCATCCAGGAAGTGTACACAGTGTATAAAATTTGCATCTTTGTTACGGTAAGTAGCCTCATCTAATTGCATACTGAATTCATTTCATTTCGTTTTCTCTATCAGCTGAACATTGAGATCCTGAGCTGCATGTTGACTTTTTCGACTATGTTGGATAAAGATACCTTAGAATGAGTTTTCCCACAACTTTTCCCACATTACTGTGCTGAGAGCGGCCAGTAGAATAAGCTTTTCTGCAATAGTACATAGTTTTTTACACTTCGCTCTTCGCAGACTCTAGCTGTGCAGATGTCACTTTAGCTTAATTGGGAGCATAGTTTTGAGTGCTGATATTTTTTAAGCAGACAACATACCTGTCGTTGTTTACTTCTGCTGAAGTAAAACCAAAGTCAGAGTAACTCTCAATGTAATTACGATATTTTTGCTTCTTTTCTCCTCCTCCAATTGTCGATCTCTTATCACTCGAGCTACTATTGGTTTGCTCATTTAATAAAAATATTTTCATGTTGTGAAATATCAGTAAGCACTTGTCAATTTATTGCAATGTTTCGTCAAGATCACAACTTGTTTTTCACTGTACTACTTTCCAACATGTATACGAGTTGGATACTGACGGTTGGGAGTGGAAAAAAAGAAATGTCAACAGATACCAATGCTGGGAAGACAAATATAGCAATTTTACGTCTGAAAGTAACAGGTGCAAAAAATGTATAGGGATAATTGAATACAAATCTAATGCAGTAACATAGAATTATTTGCAAATTGAAAGAACTAAGTGCTAGAATAAAATGGCACTTTAAGAAATGAAACACAGAACGAGAATTACTTAAGATTAGAAGGAGAAATAAATATGTTAAAAGTGCTATTTAAATGGAGTTAGAAGAACAACTGAAGTATAAGTATTGAAGAAAATTTAAGGAACTATTATTTCAAGAAATAGACTAAAAATTAATGGAATACATTAATGGACATAAAATTAATGAAAAATATGGCCATGCATTCAATGCAAAATTTGTTTGCAGCATCCTTGGCCTTACTTCAAGTGCCAAGGTGCACACTTCGAGAACTCTCGCTATATGTAAATATAAAAGATATCTAAAGTTGCACTTTTAAGACATGAAAAACTGAAGTTAAATTTCATCATTCGGTTCAGTAGAATGTTCCTCCCCTTTTTTTGTGCAGAGTGTACATAAGTGGTGGCCACCTTCTTTACCCTTGAGTGCCAATTTGCATTGTGTCTTGAGGCCACAATGCAAATTGGCTGGTACAACAGTATGTTGTACACTCCCGTAAATCTTTGCCATGTACAACTACGTGGCAAACATTGAGAGTGTTCTGGAATAATAAATAACAATTATTTCAAAATTGTTATGATAGTAATTTCAAATAATTATAGTAATAATGCATAGCTTTCTATTTATCTCTAGCCAATTATTTCATATTCTCCATTTAATTACCATTTATTGAATTGTTAAAATGCATATATTATGTACACTAAACTATACTAGGTTATGTACACTAAACAACAGATATAAATTTTTTTTCCTGGTAAAATCTTTTTTAATGTTACATATAATTTGAAAATTCAACACTATTTAATTTCAAAACATTTCTGAATAGAATTTGTTCGATTGAAATTTTATTCATACTTTTGGGACAAAAGATATTATTTTTTAGATATAATTTTGTGTTACATTTTAATATCATCAGGGATCATATATTTGAGCTGTGTAAACAAACCTAAATCTCTTGTATAAATTGAATGCATAGGTTTCTAGATTGTAAACTTTGAGAATTCATTGTCTTAATTTTGACTTTTTATTTTTAGTCACCACTTAGAATTCTAATGAATGTTATGTATTTATATTTGAAATAAAGTTTTGAAAAAAAAGCATGGCATGTATGAAGGATGATGTGTGCCGTACATCAGTAATTTTAGAAGCAATAGTTAAAGTATTAAGAAGAAGTACTAATTTAGATGCAAACTGAAATGATTGTATGGTTGAGTGAAAAGAAAAACTGTTTTACTGGTGTTGATATTGTTGCCATGTTGATAAACTTTTGGTAGAGTGTATCTGCTAAGAAAAAAATTCCATATATATTATGAAATGTATGTGTAGAATTTCAGAAGTTAGCAAATGCTATGAAGCTCAATAAAATATCTGGTTACATTTTTGTGGAAATGTTTATCCGTTTTTACTTTTTTAAATCTTCGGATATTTCTCATAGTTTTATTGTGCAAAAATATAAAGTTTTGAAGCATAAAATCTTAACATAGAAAAAATATTCATATCTGGCCATTTATTGTGACAGTTATTAAACTTCCAGCAGTTCAGAATAATTCTGATGGAGGGGAAAAGTAAAAAAATGTGTGAAATCCAAGTTACTAAAACAAAATATTATGGTATGAAATTTATTCTGTAGTATGAAATAGAAATTTTTAGTAGGAATTCTTTTTTTGTTTTTAATTTTTTTTTTTTTTCCACTTCTAGAACGTACAGACAAGATCCCTATGAATTCTATAAAAAACATTGTTAGTGAATCAATTGAAGGTCATGAAGAATATCATATAATGGTAAGTATAAAGTATTATTTCATCTTTCCACATCTATTAAATTAATAATGGGCAAGTTTTCTAAATTAAAAATAAGTAAATGAATATGAGATTTATATAATTTGGAAAGGATTTGCAGGTTTAACATAAAAATCATATTTATTACAAGGTTGACAAATTATTCCTGATGAAATTTAAAATCATTGCGTGCAAGTTAGTGAAATTTCTGAAAATAGCATATAAAGCATTAAATTAAACTATAGAAAAAAGAAAAGGTTTCATAATCTTATCAAATAAACATGATACTGATGATTTTAAAATTACAGCTTTATGTTCAAACAAATAATATTGTAAAAACTCTGCACTGAACCAGTTTATTTCCAGATATCAACTGAACTATGCACTGGTCATCAAATTTAAAAGATGAGAAAAAATATGCTCACCAAGTTAATGTTGCAACCAGTGCCCAATGCTCACCAAGTTAATGTTGCAACAACACTGTTATTAATTATGTTAAGTACAATTGAATACAGAATTGTACTTCCATGCATACATTAGTGCCAGAAATATGCAAATTTGGCTATTGACAATGAGGTGGCAATGGATGTGGTTTCTAAGATTGATCAGTATTTATTACTCAAAGTGATCATTTTAGTGAAGGTCAAAAGTGACAAATATTGGTAGAATTGAAGGGGGAACAAACACAAATGGAGGTTGCCCAAGATTAGAATATCCCTCAAAGTGTCATATCAAGAATTTGGAGCCACTTTTTAATTACTGGATCAGTTGATATACAGTATGGCCAAGGGCGACCAAGAGCAACAACTGCATCAGAAGACTGTTTTCTGTTGTCGGCTCGAAGAAACCACGAAGCGACTACAAGAGATTTGGTTTTGGACCTTCAGCCTCCCATAAGAATTATCTGTTTTGCTGCTGCACGAAGGCTTACCGAGGTTGTATTGTATGCAAGAACACAAATGGTTTGTGTCCAACTAACTCCAGCTTCCAGAAGAGGCCATTTAAATTGGTTCTATTGTCATGTTCAATGGGCCTGAGTATTGTTTACTGACGAGTTTAGATGTACTCTGAACAGTGTTTCTAGATGTGTTTTGATCTGGAGAGAGGAAGGAACATGACACTCGCCTTCCTTTGTTCTCGAAATATCCGTTTTTGCAACTGTGGTTTAACAGTTTGGAAAGGAATCCACGACAAATAGATGCACCGAGCTACATATCTTTCAAGGAGGTTCTGTACACTCAAAGATATGTTGATGAGGTTTTGGAACTTCAAGTTAAACTGTTTAGGGGTACTGTTGATGCAGAGTTTCTGCTAATGGATGAAAATGCTCGGCCTCATCGAGCATATTTGGTGTCGGAACACTTACAAACAGAAGATATCGCTCAGATAGGTTGGCCATTTTACTCACCCGACTTGAAACAGAATTGAGCATGAGTGGGATTTCGTCGGGTGCCAAATTTCAGCCCACCAAATTCCTCCCGATCCTACAGTAGCTGAAAAATGCAGTTTTAAAAGAGTGGCATGCAAATCCACGAGCGTTGATTAACACTTTGGTAAAGCCTATGAAATCAAGAAGTTGTAAGGTATGCATATCTATCCAAGATGACCATACACCATATTAAAGAGAAAAAAAAAATCGTCAAGAAGTGATTTAATTTTCTAATTTCTATAAATTTGGTTTTAATTTCATTTTAATTTAATTTTGCGAATAATCAACTGCTAAACATTGTTATTTATGTTAACTTGCGTAAATTTCTATTTATAATTTTTCATTAAGTATCAGTTATGTTTTATATGTGTTATTATCCTTTAATTTTAATGGTTGGTGTACTTTGCATGAAAACAGCGATAGGAAGTACTGATGATTAGGTTGGAGCACAGAAGAATATACCCAATTTAAATGTAAACGATGAGTTATTAATATCTGGCTTAAAAGTGTATTGCAGTTAGTAATTTTTAAATGAGGGACCTTTTTGACCATGAGTTGTAGGTGGATTATTTTATCCATGAAAGTGGCAATAGCCCTAGATATCCAAAATATACCATAATATCTATATACATGTACACTACCAGCAGTTCTATTCATCAAGCAAACAGCAGTCTCTTGCGTGCCATTAATGACTGGGATTTACATAGATTGTCTAGAATGTTCCAGAACAATCAAAGAGAACAATAGGTCCAGAATGCTTATAGAGCAACCAGGGGCTACTACTGTAGATAGAGATTATTCTAGTTTTGGTAATGATCTCAAAGAATATAAATATAAAACTTGTACTCTGTAAAATTTCATGAGTGTGACCTATTATTTTTTTAATGTGCATTATCATGACTTAACAGTGCATAGTAAAAATATATATATAAAAATTTGTTAATGGAATAGATGGGTGGATTGCACTCAACTGGTTGGCACTATAATGCATATTTGGATGATCTAATGCAGAATTTTAAATTGCTGATTTTATTTTTAAATTTGATTTTTTACTGTTTTCAGTTTTTTTTTTTTTTTTTTTTGTTGTGTGTGTGTGTGTGTGTGTGTGTGTGCATATAAGACATTTGTAAATTGTGTAAATTTCAGACAAGCAGTAATTTAAATGCTACTTTAAAAACATTATGAATTGCTTCATGGGAGAATACTGTAAATATAGAATGTCTCGTATAACTCTTGAGTTAGAAGTTTTAATGTTGATGCACGTAATGCATATTCACATTCAGGTGCACAGCCTGGAAAAGTTGATCATATTTTGACAAATACAGAAATTGCAGCCTGTTAAAAAATTTGGATAGTAGATTCTTCATGACTAGAAACAAACTTGGCTGTCTGCATTATTTATATGCTCTTTGCTATTAGCATGCATAGTTTTTAACCATTTTTGGATTTAATTACCGTCAGTGGAAAGGTCTTTCAACCAATGTCTAATGAAAGTTGTTCTCCAACCTAAATTTTTTGTTTGCACTTGTTTAAGCTGAACATCTAATAAAGACTTAGTGTTTTGTAGGATAAAAGCAGCTATCATGAATTTCTGCTCTTAGTCAAAGCAAATATATTTACTATAGTTGATATTTAATATGGCTAATACTTTCACAATTAAATATGAACTCGGCAAAATATTAAAATTTAATCTGACCTCACAAAATATAGTCAAATTTTATTTAGGCTTACAGAACAGCTACATGATTATAGTACAGTTTTTATAATGTTTCATCAGTGTCAATAGCTTTAATCAAATAATATAAAAAGACACACCAATTATAACCAGCATTTCAAATGGGACTTTTCTTTTATCGAGACAAATCAGTATAAACTCTAATGAGAACTTAAGAAAAGAAAGCTCTTAAGAAAGACCCAAATTTATATGATCAATGATGACATGTTTATTCTATATACACTCACTTCCAAAAGTTAAGCACAGGATGTAAAATGCAAAAAATCAACAAATACTGCTTTGATTGACACAAAATTTGGCAGAAAAGTAGCATATATATTTATGCATAAAACAAAATCAATAATTCTATACAGAAATGAAAACAAATCTGATAACTTAAAATTAAATTTTTAAGTTATCAGATAATTACATACTGAAGACCTAAACAGAATTATGTATAAAGTGGAAATAAACAGCATAAAATGAAAAAAAAAAAAAAAAAAAAAGACATTAATAGAGTATGTGATTCTTCCCCTCATCTGTATACAAAGTTTACACCTTGTGACCATGCTTTCAATTAGGTGGTCAACCACCACAGAATTAAGCAATCGCCATCCTTCTTGTAGAGCAGTTTCCAGCTCAATAAGAGTGGCTGGAGGTGGGAAACGTCAAGATACAGCATGACGAAGGCATCCTAAAGATTTGCAACGGGATTAAGGTTGAGTGAATATGCTGGCCACGACATACACGCAATCCCTTCACTCTCCAGGTAGTCAGCTCTATAGGGACGTGCGTTATCATCCATTTAAACAAAAGTAGGGCCAACTGCTACAATGTACAATCTCACAATGGGTTCTAGGACTTCATCTCGATACAGGACAGCCGTCAAAGAACCCCATTTAAAAATGTGCTGTTCGATGCGGTATTCTAATGAAATCCCTGCCCACACCATAATGCTTCCGCCTCGGAATGTGTGATGTTCGGTGATGTTTTGAGATTGATTGTGTGTTCGTTGTTCACACCATATCTTTATACGGTTGTCATCTGGCACCAGAGCAAATCTTGACCTATCAATAAACATATCATTGCCACAGTCAGACACATTCCAGTTGACATTTTCTCGGCACCACTGTAATTGTGCCCCTCTTGATTGGATGGACAGAGAACAAAACTCGAGGTACTCGAGCGTACAGTCCACTCTTGTAATCTTCGGCATACAGTAGCTACAGATATTGCCTTACCAGTGAATGCTATAACCATAGATGTCACACGTGTGAAGGCCGCTCTGCGATTCCGTTTGACTACAATAGCAATATATAGATCTTCCGCTGGGGTTGTAACAATTGGGCGACTGGCTACAAGCCTTCGGACAAATGTCTGTGTGGTTTGGAATTGTTTCCATAAACGTGAAATTACAGAATGATGAATGACGAAGAAAACAGCAACATCTGTGATCAACTGTCCTGCTTCAATGCACCCCACAACACGCCAGCGCCCAGAATCTTCCATTCGTCTTCTGGAAGTCATAGAAACACGTATGTCTTGAAAACCAATTGTACGAAAGTTTTAAACACCTTCTATTAGCACTTGCTAATAATAAACTTCTGTAACCCTTCATAAATCTGGCTTCTTATAAGACTGTCTTTTTTGCATATTTCTTGACATGAAAGCGCAATTGACTGTTATATAACATATTTGCATACTTCCATCTACCTCTGCAGTGAATTGCATCCTCTTTAATTCTGATTGGCTTCCGGAAATTAGCCTTTTCCTCTGCTTAACTTTTGGAAGTGAGTGTATTATGGTTCCTAAAACATAACTATCTCGAGTGATGCATAGCTGCTGCTACAAAAAACAAGTTAAAAATAAAATCCTATAGAGCTATTTCAAGAAAAGTATGCTGTACTAATTCTTGTTACTCAGGTTTATAACTTGACTCCACCACTCTGCAGTAGATGTGAGGAAAACACTTTCCAAACAGTGACTTTTCTGGAGAGGCTGAAATCCATAACTGCAGTAAAGGAAAAATGATTGGGAATAAAAGAACTGTTATTAAATCATTACTTACAGCTAAGATATCAGCTAGTATTGGAAAAGTGATTTCAAAATATGGTCTGGTAACCAGCAAATTAAAGAATAAATTAAGACTTGAAAAGCTTAACGTTTGAATTTTTATATAGATTCTAATCATCACATTCTTTTGTTGTGCAGTTAAACTATACAATTAATTACATATTCTAACACTAAATAATTAAATTCTATTTTATATAAATTAATATTGCATATTAATTATACATTCTATCATATTTATTTTATTTGCAGGGTATTCAATTAGGTACAACGGAAGCCTCCAGGTATTGGCTGTATTGGGTTCCTGCACAATATGTTGATGCTATAAAAGATGCAATTCTGGGGAAATGGCAGTATTTTTGACACTTAAGAACTCTAATAAATTTTTATTGAATCAAGCTTTTTACACTATGAATATAAGAGCTATTGAATGTTTTTGTACAAATGCATATATACAAAGTTTCTGTGAAAATGTTAAACATTAATAAAATGTATAAAATGCGAATCTTGTTCATTGTTAGCATTGTGTTCTGATATTTTAAATCTGTTGCTTATGAAAATTAGGAAAGCAAAAAAAACCCACCAAAATTGTAATGTGAACTTGCATTTTGGAAGTTTTCTTTTAATTTACACTGCTGGCCATTAAATTTGCAACACCATGAAGGAAAGAAAGAAAAAGAAAAAAAAAAAAAAACATGTAAACAGTTTGGCATGAAAACAAAATGATAAAATTTGTAAGCATTTTGGAGGTTTACAGGGGTGAGAAATTAGTAGAAACAGCTGCCAACCTTGGAAGCTAAAACGGCCCTTACCCCATTAGGCATGGAGTCAGACTGGGCTTGGATGACAGAAATGGGCAACTCATTCCATGCTGCTTCAAATCTATGCCGCACTTCATCAATCATATTAGCTGGAGAGGGGTGGAATACCCTGTGTGTCAAAGATCAGAACAGGATGTGCAACATGTGGTCTTGCATTATCTTGTTGGAATACGGTGTTTGGGGGCTTCAAAGATAGGGCACAACCACTGGACGTAGTAAGATGTCAGAAATTACCCATCTGCATTCAAATTACAGTCGATCTGAACTAGAGATGTACGTGTCGTGCACCCAATGGCTGCCCAAACCATCACACCAGGTGCAGAGCCCCTATGATGATATCAAATGCAAGCAGCCAGTGTGCGTGTTCTTGGACACTCTATGTATATGGCCATCAGAATACTGCATGCAGATTCGGGACTTTGAAAAGACGACGTCGTGCCACTCCTGTATCCAGCTTTGTTGTTCGGCACACCATAGTCTCTGTCTATCCATGCTTGCATTGTCAAGGGAAGCTGAAGTAATGATCATCGTATTGATAGTCACATGGCTGCAACGAGCGGACACTGGGCATTGTGCAAACATGCCCATTTCCAGTCTAATGGTCCATGATGTAGCTGTACGGTTTTGCAGATCTGACCTTACAATATGTCCGTCTTCTCTGGCGTTAGTCATGGGAGGGCCGTGAGATCCTGCATGTTGTTCAGTATGACCGTCAGCAATCCATTGATTCCATATTCGCATGACGGTGGTTGGATGTTGACCAGTGCGACCAGCAATATCGCGGAACAATAACCTACACTTTCGATAGGAATGATCCTGCCTCTCTCGAATTTTGAAACTTGCTGGTAAGCATTTCCTCTTCTTATTTGAGGCATAACACACTATTCTGAGCAAACTCCAACCTTACAAAGCACTTTTCGAACGAGAAATCCACGACAGAACTTTTCTTTCATGCAGTGCTTCAGATGTCATTTCTCCCTCCCGTGTCTCTAATTGTCCTGAAATACTAATCATTTGCATATCCCAACTTCTTCCTTTCATGTGATTTTGATCCTGGTGTTGCAATTTTAATGCATTTTAATTTACATCAAAGTATTATACTAGCATATTTCAAGGAGAAAAGTATTTGCAAAATTAAAATATTCTACACTATGCTAGGTTATCAAATTACACTGCTGGCCACCGTAAATGCAACACCCTGAAGGAAGCATGCAAATAACATGAAATTTACAACATGCATTAGCGAAGGCGAGATATGCAAATGATTAGAATTTCAGCGGAGACGCCCATGGCACCACTTCAAAGCGCTAATTAAGGCTTGGAGTTTTCGATGATTTCAAGTTCGGCAATTGTGTTTTTCTTGTGGTCTTTTAAAAAACTATCAATTATGCTTCGTAGTAAACATAGATCATCTTTTGATCAAGTATCTGAGTTTGACAGAGGAAGGATAGTGGCCTACCGAGAGTGTGGATTATCTTTCAGGGAAATCGGTAGTCGTGTTGGACGAAACCAAACAACTGTAATGCGGATATGTGACCGTTGGACGCAGGAGGGTACGACGGACCGACGTGTTCGATCGCATCCACCTCAGTGCACCATTTCACGTGATGACAGGAACATAGGCGCATGGCAGTGATGGATCACGAACCATAGCACAGTACATTCAGTTTGTAACGCATCATCCAGTGTCTGCACGTACCATTCAACGCCGTTTACAGCAGAATGGTCTGTCTGCAAGATGTCCATTGCTTCGTCTACCCTCAACGCAGAACCACATACGTCTCTGCCGCCAATGGTGCGATGAAAGAAGGATGTGGACGGCAGAATGGAATGAAATTGTCTTTACTGACGAGTCACGCTTCTGTCTGCAACAGTATGATGGTTGGATTCGAGTCTGGAGACAGCGTAGAGAGAGGATGCTGAACAGTTGCGTTATGCACAGCCACACTGGTCCTGCACCGGTATTATGGTATGGGGCGGCATTGGATATCACTCTTGAACTCCTCTAATACGCATTGTCGGTACTTTAAACAGTCAGCGCTACATCTCTGAGGTGTTGGAGCCAACACATTACACAGCTTTATTGCCAAGTTCCGTGTCCGTAAACGATCACTTACCCCCTTAATTGGCCGGAACTCCGTTCACTCTATGGATAACAAATTGCTCATTTACAAAACCCTTTTGCGTCCCATACTTTCTTACGCCTGCCCTGTTTGGGATATACCAGCTTCACCAATAGCTAGAAAATCCAAGTGCTACAAAATGTAACACTCGGGCAAGTGATGAACTGCCGCTGGTTCATTAGGAACACGGCAGTTCACGAGGAGTTAGAAATACCTACTTTGCCCTGCTGGCTGAAAAATTCTTAAAAAATATTCCCAATGTCAATAATAGGATTTGCAGGCAAGATTTATGGACCCACGATTCTAGAAATAGGTGACAAAATGAAAAATGTCAACACGTAATGGATCTATTTTACAGAAAGTTTTCAATGAATTTCTTACTTTTTGGAGAACGTCTGGAAGAACAATGAAAACATAATATTTGAATGTTTTACTTCTGATACTAGAATCTTAACATGTTTATCTTCCCTTTATTTTCTCTACTTTTCAGTAGACACAAGCATTGAAAATATCAAAAATGCTTCTAATCTTATCACATGGGCAGACATTACAGAAAACGCTTTTTTTATTAATAAAGAAATTGAAAACTTACAATTTAAAAGATTCATCTAGTATTTCTTAATGCATCATACACATAGCTGGCACTAGGCATTTTCCCACCTGATGCAATCTCTGTCGATCCTAAATTCTTCTGCCTAGTGCCTTTCTAAATCCTGCTTCCAATGCCTGCTCTATATTCTAAAAGTTTTGCCATTTCTAGATTTTGTTGTAAAGTCTGTTACTAAATTCTAGACATTCTGACATATCAGCTCTGTAACCGGCCTTCCTATATATATTTCATATTTATTCTGAATGTTCATATTACTAAAATATAAAATTAGCCGCTTTTCCTGTACATTCTAAATGCATTTAGTGTTTTTTAGAATAACAGAAATCCTTAATAAAATCCAAAAATTCTAAAATGAAAAGGAAACGTTTTGAAAAAAGAAACTGAATAAGAATAACTGAATACATAAAGAAAATTATTCTTCAAAGATATGTGCAGTTATTATTATGTAAATTACCCAATTGTTTATGATTTCATCCTTTACTATAATTTCCCATTTTTATTTCCTCATATGACATAGTTATTGAGCCAGATTAAATTAAAATTAAATTGTATAATCTTTGAACCACTTGTCCACATAATTGGTTTGAATTTGACTTTTCTGTTTAATTTCTTGTAATTATTTTGTTTGAAAAACCTTTATTTGTCTTTTTAAATAAGGGGTTTATTTAAAATATTGTAGTTAATTTCAGACATAGCGATAATGTGCTTCACGTTTGTCGGAGGTTTTTGACTATTTAACTTTTACCAGATCAATTAAACTCTCATAGGTACATTGTGGAGAGGTTGACAAGTTAGGAGATAAAGCATGCTGAAACTAGCGAAAGCATTGGTTTGCATATTGAGACAAATCTGCAATTGTTAGAAAAGATGCTTAAAGTGAAGGAAATCGATATAAACTAGCCAATGTGTTTGCGAAGGCTTGTACAGACATTAGGTATTTTTGAAAGCAAGAAAGATGAAAAAAATTAACAACGCTTTCACCGGGAGTCGAAGAGCGGACCTCTGGAATACTGGTGCAGTGTGCAAACCACTACACCACGAAGGCTCGCCAAGAAGATGGCAGAAAAACCTTATAGGCTTCAAATTAAAATGACGGATAAATATTTTGTTGAGTGTGGTTGTTACAAAACATAAATGTTTTGTAGCTTTTAATGTATAATTATTCTAATATTGTTTAGATTCAATGTCATAAATTACATGCATTTTAAACTGCGAAATTTTATTAGATTTTGATTTTAATAAGGCTTTTTTTAACAAATATTGTTAAAAAATAAAATTTAATAGTGGCCATGTAAATCTGTAATGACTGCGGTTATCTAATTATCTCATTTAATTATTTATAACTAACTACTTAACCTTAAATATTATCTCTACATATTAAAGCAAGTTTGTTATAATATTATACATAATAGAAATTCATACTTAATATTTACTACTGAACATCATTTCTGTGAAATAACTATTGTTTCATACTAGATTATGAGGTAGGTAACTGTGTGTTATATGTAACATAACAGAACATTTCAATCAATATTGTATCAATCACAAAACTGTACGAGTAGTTATCATAGTGTAACATAAAAACAAAATATGCAAACAATTCTAAATTTCAAAATTGCGTTGTGTGTAAGCGAAAAAAAAAAAAACATTCTATTTTAAGTTCCAGTGTAAAGAATTAATTACAAGGCTAAGTAGGTAAAATCAATCTAACGTTTATTAATGAGAAAAATTTTTATGAATCATTTACATTTTTAACAATGGTGGCGGCAGGTTGGCCTTTACTCTGAAGAAACAAATTTACATACCTGCAACCAAAATTTACAAATTTACCTTGCGAAGGCATCAGACATTTTTTTTATTTGTGGATTCTTGTAACAGAGCTGGAAATAACAAAATTCTTGAGCAGAGGTTTTCTGGAAGGGAAACAAAACTTAATAATGGAAAATAATTT